TGGGATGACGGGATGGGATGAGATAAGATGGGATGGGATGGGATAAGATGGGATGGGATGGGATGGGATGGGATGGGATGGGATGGGATGGGATGAGATAAGATGGGATGGGATGGGATAAGATGGGATGGGATAAGATGGGATGGGATAGCACCAAAACCTTTCTCCTTTCCTGATGATTTGAGCAGGAAGAGGGTTAAGGAGAGTGGAGACCCTTCCAGGGGATTCCTCAGTGTGGTGAGTGCTCCATGAACAAGGAGAGGCTCTCAGCTGCCTGTCCCAACTCCAGAAATACTTCACACCCTCTGCTTCATCACCAGGACAGGAGCAATTTTGGCATAGGGAAGGGAGGGCAGTTCAATCAAAGGAGATGGTCACAGTGACTTCTCTTGAAGTAATCCAAGGCCTGGAAGAACTTCAGGCTTTCAGTTCCCAAGGAAAAATTGGGAAAATTCCACTTCAGAGACGTGGACAACTGTGATTAAACCCACTTAAACACCTCAATTAGGCTTTCCCAGCCTGGAGGCTGTGAGGGAACCTGCAGAGCTGCTGGAACCTTTGGCTGACTGAAGTGTGCTTTGCAAGCACCCATTTCTCTCCCTCCTGAGGAGCAGCTGGAGGAATCCTTGCTCCAGAAGCAGAAGGGCTGGGAAATGGCCTAGACAAGGCAGCTGTGAGGCTAGGGGATGTGGTTTTGCTGGCCAGGGAGGGATGAGAGCGTTGCCATACCTGAGGTCTGGTTGTCCCAGGGCAGCTCTGCCAGGCACTGGCTGCGCTCCTCCTCGATCTCCTGCATGATGCTGCACTCCGGGCGCGTGCTGGACGCCTGCAGGGAGGGCACAGAAGGAGACAGTGAGCAAAGCCCATCCTCAGGGAGGCATTCCTGGGGATTCATGGCCTCGTGGAGCAAGCTGGAGCTCTCCGGGACCATTGCACAGATGTGCACCTAGTCATATTTTATGTCCATTCAAGAGGAGGGAGAGAAACCCAGAGCCTGCTGAAAAATCAGCATTTCCCTCCATTTCATTAGGAAAAAAAAACCCACAAACTATTTTTTTTGGTGATGATCAGGAACAATTCTGCTGCTTTATGCTCTGGAAACCCTGCCTGGCTAACCAACAGCACCAGCTATGTAGGGCAGGGAGACGGCAGCTTTAATATTCATGCCAGGAGCTGTGGGATCTGTGCTCCGTAGTTTATTCCCTGTCTCCCGGCTCTCAAGCTAATTCAAAGCACAACAAACCCCAAATCAAATAAGGACGGAATCTCTGATGCAGATTAGAAGATCAAGGAGCTCAAAAGCAGGAAATTCCCAGTGACAAGAGTTTTTCCCCTCAGGTGGATTCTCCTCAGTCGGGCCTAATCAGGTTTTGTTTGTAATACAACATTGGCCATAAATGCTCAGGTAATTAATTGTGGACTCCTCGTAACGTGCAACTCATGAACTGCCTCAATCTTAAAAAGTGGAAATGGTGAATTTTACTCCAAAAAACAGAACTGAGAGCTCACACATATCATCTCAGTGTCCCCTTGTCACCAACATGCTCTCAGCTTGGAGGGGACACCTTGGCCATCGCTATGGCCAGAAACTGAGGCTGCTCCAAACTCCATCTCTTTTAAAGGGATTGGAAAGGGCATTCAACAGGGAGAAAACTTCTCAGAAATCCAGCTGGAAAGAAGTGGAAAGAAGGGAATGATGTCCAGAGAGCCAAGACTTGGCTTGAGTTTATCCTGTCACTGTTAAATGTTATGTGGGAAAAAGCATCAGTGGGGTGAACTTCAGGAACAGATCATGAGGACACAGGAGAAACTCTGCCAGTAAGAAGTGATTGATTCACTGTCCCCTCTTGAGGGTTTTGGGATAATCATATATTTTCATCTGAGATAGGCAGAGAAAATAAATTTAAAAAAATAAATAAAAAAATTCCTGTCTCATTTCAAAATGAGTTATTGCTCTGTTCATGTATTTGCCAGTCAAGGTTTTAAGACAAAAAGTCCAGCAATCCTTTGAAGGAACAATTGTTTGATGTAAATTTGGGTTAAAATTACAAAATAATTTAGCACATTAAATTAATCTCACCATATCCTATTAACCTATCCTGCTCTCCTCCCTGTTTCATGCCATGCCTGGTTCAGATTTTAATTTCCTTTAGGTTAGGAATGGGCCTTGATTAGTAGTGTATAAACAATTAATTATGTGGTTTTCTAGTCAAATTAAAAATAAATATAAATACAAACACTAGAAAAGGGGAATCATTTGGAGTTGTCTTCATTCTCAAATATTTCTTTTCCCCAAAGGGAAACAGATCTTTGGAAATTTCATCTTGGCTCATCTGAAATACCATAGATTTATTTTGTTTTGATTTACAGTGCTTCTTGCCATTTTATTTTAACCTTAAAAAAGCACAAGGAGAAGCGTGAGAGATTTGCAGAACACTTTCTGGAAAAATAAAGATTGAAATGTTTTCAAAACATTCTGACTTTTTCAAAGGGAAGTTTTAACTCTCCGGACTTAAATGTTTGCCAAATTAATCTCACATCTATAAATACCTCTGGTTTTCACTTTATAAATTAATTCATACCACTCTAGATTTGATCAGGGCTGGCAATACACTCTCTAGTTGTACAATATATCGGAAATTTTTTTAAGCAGTAGCTTTTACACCAAGCCCATTAGCAAGTACTTCACTGCCACTTCTTCCCTTCACTAAAATCTCATGCTTGAACTGGATAATTCTATATTCCCCTCAATGGCCCAATATTTACTTTTGAGTAACTGGTTTTATCACCTTTAAAAAGCAAATGAGGCTCTGTTTTGAAAAGTGGGCTTGTGACAGGCTCAGGTAAACTTGGTTATACATAGAATCTTTAAAATCTCCCCTTTTTTTTTTTTTTTTTTGCCATACAATCCAAAAGAAAATATATCTGTGCTAGGAAAAATCTGAAGAAAGAGTGTCCAGCAGCTAAAATAATAAAATACAGAAGATCTTGGATTTTGTACTGCTGGTACTGACTTCTTGTGAGCTTTTAGGGAAGTTGGGTGCTCACAACAACCCCAAACAAAACTTCAGGCTGAGGGGCTGGGAAAGGACCAGGGGCTGAGGGGTGCTGGTGGCTGCACATGAGCCCAGGTGTGCCCAGGTGGGCAGGAAGGGCAGTGGTACCTGGACTGGACCAGGAATTGGTGTCCAGCAGGACCAGGGCAGGGATTGTCCCCTCTGCTGGGCACTGTGGAGGCAACACCTCCAACCCTGGGGTCAGTTTTGGCCCTGATGACATTGAGGACATTGAGGACATTCCAGAGAAGGGAATGGAGCTGGGGAAGGGTCTGGAGCACCAGGAGTGGCTGAGGGAGCTGGGAAGGGAGCTCAGCCTGGAGAAAAGGAGTCTCAGGGGGAATTTCTAGCTCTATACAACTCCCTGACAGGAGGGGACAGCCGGGTGTGGCTCTTCTCCCAAGTGACAGGACAAGAGGGAATGGCCTCAAGGTGAACCAGGGGATGTTTACTTTGGATATTAAGGAAAATTACTTCACTGAAAGGGTTAACCTGGCACAGGCTGCCCAGGGCAGGGGTTGAGTCACCCTAGAGATTCTTAAAAGCCACACAGATGTGGCACTTGAGGACATGGGTTAATGGTGGCCTTGGCAGTGCTGGGCTAATGACTCCTCTTGATGATCTTGGAGATCTTTCCCAACCTTAATGATTTTACGATTCTATAAACAAAGAGCGGGATGTAATTCAGCTTCTCTGTCAGTGGGACACATCATCCTCAATTTTAGCTGAGTCAGAGCTCTATGTTTAGTCTGACCTGATTTTTTTCCATTCCTCCAAGACCACAGAGAGCAAGCAAACAGCAGCTCTGAAGGCTTTCATCCCACTCCACTGCCCATGGTTGGATGGATTCAAACTTAAGTAGCCAGCACTTAGCTGGAAAAGGTCAGTGATGTGTGAATTTAATGTCCACACACCCTTAACTCAATCAAGGTTAATAAGTAGATTCACACTGCAGGACTTCAAGTTTATGGCTCATTTTGCACATTAACTAAAGAAGTAAATAAATACCTTTATCACAGCAACCCACCTTCAACCTCCTCAGTGATAACAGCAATAACCCTCACGTGTCACAGCTGTCACTGATACAGGCTGACAAAGGCAGATGGAATTAAAAGAATCAAAAAATATCACAATTTTTGGCACCATTAGGAAACAGAAAATGTGGGATTTTCTGTTGGTGGATCATCAGGGTGCCTGTTGAGCAAGGGAACAAGTTCAGCTGCCTTAATTCTCCCCTAGGTGACGAAATGCCCATGGCTGGAAAGAGCCCTCAAGAAGGGTGAGTCCTGCCTGTCAAAGGGGATATTCCCTGAAGGAAGGGCTAAATAATTATCTTTCTTCAGTTTATTCCTCCTGGAAAAGTTGAATTAGACTTTGTACAAACCCACTTTACTAATTCTCCATTTCTAGGCAGTTTTTTACTATGTTGTGTTGTTTTGTTTGGGTTTTCTCCTATGGAAAAGGCAGAGATTTTGGGCTTTGGCCTCTCTCACTGCAGTGGGCAACTGGCCATGCAGACAAAGGGCTGGGGAGCGCATGAATTCCAATTTCTTATCCAAAAAGTAAATATAAAACCGAAAGAGTGACAAGTTCTGGCTAGCTCATGCTAACATCAGAGGGTGAACGGTAATCCAGTTGCTTGGGAATATCCATTATGGGTGAAGCTGAAACGTGGGAACCACCCCTCACTGATCCCTCCTGGCACGCCCAAAACTCCCTGTAAAGGTGTGCTGGGTTTGTCATGGCTTTTCCTACTCATACTCTGATTCCTGAGCAGAAAGATGAAGGGAATGTTTTTCTGGATGTGGTTTCTTGCAGCCCTGAGTTCTGCAGTAGCTCTCACATAACAAGGAGTTGTAACCAAAGTCTTTATTAATGAGAGTTTTCCTTCCCTATGGATCCCGGGAATTGTTAGAGGATTACTGTGCAGTCTGCTGCTGCAAATAAAGCCTTTGCATATGCTCCTAAGTTAAATACAATTCCAAGGGTTGCCACAGACTGAAGGAGCTGCAGAAATGTTTAGTCTCTTCTGCAGGGCCAGAATACCCAGGGGACACGTGGCAGCTCCTCAGAGACAGGTGTGATTCACAGAAGAAGGGCTGCGAGCCTCGATGTGTCCCTTTCTGCTGATCCCGGGCTGTTCCTGGGCTCACCTGCAGCTCAGGGGTGGAGACTCCAGTGATGAGAACCAGGGTGACCACAGTGGTTACAGGATTTGGAGTCAAACAAAGTGTAAAAGTCTCTGGGGCAACAAATGTAAAAGTGCTCAGTTCTTTTCCCCAGGATTGGGATTGATGAGCAGAGAGATGGCTTTCGCCTTCGGACTGAGGGTGTTTATTTTTCTTATCTGTGTTACATTCTCACAGACAGTGAACACTTGCACACACTGACCTAGCAAGCTACAAATGGAGACCCAGGGCTCTGTCCACAAAGCCTTTTATGCATAAACTACCCAATTATCAAATGCCAACTCATTTATTTTTACTTTTAACCCAAACGCCTGTGTTCCGCACTGCGAGCTTTTCTGTCCAATCACCCAATACCACCCAAAACCATGAGGAAGGCAGAAAGGCAAAGACAAGCCAATGCCCAAGAACATCCATCTTGCCCCTCATTCACTGCTATGTCTCAAACTCTAAACTCCAAATTTTTCACCCAGTGACTTAACACAATTCTAACTCACACATTCGCATTCCCAGCTTCTCCACTCAGTTTTAGAAGCCTTCTCCATGGTCTTAAATTAAACCCAGTTTTCTCTTGAGTGTCTGAGCCTGT